TTCGTCGCGCTGTGATGACGTCACGTACGCGCTTTCGTCGAGCGCGCTATAGTCTACCGCGGTTTTGTGGTGGAACCTAAACATCACGCATCATGTCTCAGTGGACGTTTAGGAACATAAAATTAAGTGATAGGACAATATAATCCTCCTTAGTATTTGACCAATATAAGCTTTTCTCTTAGTTGATTTGAAATGATTACACCAGATTGTAGTTGTTACGATCTCTCCCCCCCGCCACGCCCCCATGATAAATAGTTCTTTTTTGGTTTACTTATATTGACATTACCAACATTAGAATTAAACTTAAATTTGAAAACTGGGGATCACTATGTTACTGTGTTATTTTGTTCCTTTTCATTTGTATGGAAACTTGATCCATGGGCTATCTGCGGGAATTTTGAGGTATATTTAACAGTATAATTTTCGATTGAATTTCGAGGTGCTTTACTTATTTAGTTTTCTCCCAAACATCCTGTTGTAATGGTCCATTCAACTGTATTTTATTTATTTTTAAAGAGTATGCATTGCACAACATAATTACATTGACAGCAAGAAGCACTACATGGCTGGTTTCATCCTATTTGGGCCTTATCAGGTGTGAGTAGCCTAACGTTATTATCATCTACTTATACACAAAAAGAGATATAAGTGAACTGATGATTTCTTACTGTCGGCTGATTTATGCTTCCAAAGTAAACAAATAGGGCTACTTATGGGAAATCCTTGGTTGGATTGGGGCCATTGGATTTTTTTATGAGTGTCATTAACAGTCTGAAAAACGTCAAAGTAAATTACAGCCATTTTTATAGAGCTCCAACAGCATTTTCAGGATAGTCTTGATTATGGCCTCAAACGTGTACAAGATACAGCAAAAAAAATAAAAAATAAAATATTTTAAAAAAACTCTAGTAGCACAAATTGGAATTAATTCAGCAAGCCCGTTCTCATTAAATCATACCATTTTCATAGTTTTAAGTTCCGCAACCAGAAAAGCCAGACTAATTTAGAATTTTAACATTTGAACTTCGAAAGCTGACTGATTCAAAATGGTTAACAGATCAATGTTTTTCAGCTGTGTTTTATTTAAATATGATCCTGGTAAAAAATATAGCAGTTCAAAAATTGGTATACTTTATTTCTGTAGTTTTGGTTTATCTGCATTCTTTTTTTTTTAATTTGCAGCTTTACTGTCCCTCTAAAATATACTATTATTAGGATTGCATTCAGATGGATTATCCTTTAAGTGAATTAGTATTTTCCTTCCTTCCTTCCTTCCTTCCTTCCTTCCTTCCTTCCTTCCTTCCTTTCTTCCTTCCTTCCTTCCTTCTTTCCCTCCTTCCTTCCCTCCTTCCTCCGTCCCTCCCTCCCTCCCCTAAAGATAGTCTCTGCAATCTAGCACAGACTTTAAAACAAGAGATTGTGAATTTTGGCTGATTTTCTGCTTTATTGCTACATATTGTTTCAGAATCTTCTGACTAAACCAATTTAAACTCTCTTCATTTAATGGACTCCTGGGATATTTAGATTTTGCTCATTATGATTTCTCATTATTCACACTAATCCCTAAGGACAGCTGGGTTAATCTGTTGCAGCCAAGAACTGATGGGATGTACTGCAGACCATGAAATTATATCGATTAAAACTACATTTGGTACCTTTTAAGTCCCAAACTCAGCAAAAGTTCTCAATGTTACGGAAATGTTTGTGCGTACGCGCGGGTTGCCCGAGTCAGCGCATTTATGCCTAACCTTTCTTGCCCTCTCCTTCGAGTTTTTGCTTTTCTTCTTCGAGAGCTTTCATCTTCTCGTCATAAATATCTCCTAGAGCTTTCCATTCCGTACGATTGTTTAGAAGACCATCAAGCATAGGGGTAATTTCTTTATGGAACCTTGAAAATTCCTAAAGAAATAATGGAGCTCCATAGGTTTACCATTGAAACAGAAGCTTGGCGGTTAGCAACGCATGCACTTTTATACGTAGAAAAATCTTTATTGGATAACAAAGAGGATTGAATAATCTTTATCAGCCCAATATTTTTTTTTCCATTTCTTACCGCATATACTCGAGTATAAGCCGAGTTTTTCAGCCCACTTTTTGGGCTGAAAAAAGCCGCCTCGGCTTATACTCGAGTCAGTGAAAAATTTGCCCGAAATGTAGGACGGGGGCAGGGCCATGCCGCTGGGTGACGCTCGTGAATGGCCCGGCGCCCCTGTGAGTTTCCCCTCCCTGTGTGTCAGTTTGCCGCGCAGCGCGCACCGCACCATCCCCCCTCCTCACGTTCTAATGTAATGCAGGGCTGTCTTAGGATTCCCCTTCCTCCCCCTCCTGCCGCTCTGCAACGATGTCCCACCTCCTCCTTGTTATGGCAAGCAGCCACATAGCGATGTCCCACCTCCTCTGGTACAGTGGTCCAATGATAGGAATCACTGTGCCGTGTGTCATAGGAGGCGGGACATCGCTCCCGCGGCTGCACGGGACATCATCATCACAGCGGGACATCAGCATCATGAGGTGAGTGAAGTATTTCATTGAATACACCGCTAGTTTACTGTTTTTCTTTGAAATAAATATTCAAAAACATTATTGGTATCTATTTTTATTTTTGAAATTTACCGGTAGCTGCTGCATTTCCCACCCTAGGCTTATACTCGAGTCAATAACTTTTCCAGTTTTTTTGTGGTAAAATTGGGTGCCTCGGCTTATATTCGGGTCGGCCTATACTCGAGTATATACATATATTACGCAACGGAAATTTATACCTATACTTTATACCTATAAATAACTTTGTACCAAATTATTCTCCAAAGTGCCGGAGGGCAGGACAAGAAACAATGGTTGGAAACTAATCAAAGAGAGAAGCAAACTGGAATCAAGGAGAAACTTCCTAACAGTGAGGACAATTAACTAGTGCAATAACTTGCTTTCAGAAATCACGGGCACGCGACTTCCGGTTTGGGCGTTGTCTGTGAGGAGTTGTTTTTTTTTAACAGCTCCGGATCCTTGGCAGCG